AGGGTTCCAGGACATAGTCTGAGGCAAGATGGAGGGTGTGAGGGGCCTGCGCCCTTCACTTCATCTCTCCTACCCATCACAGCATACAAAGCAACTACACCTGGATTTTTCCAAACAACTTTTATTTCCTCAAAGTCTTCCTTAACCCTATGGAACAAGAAGCTGCCACTGAATAGGGCCCAGTATAGGGGCTGCTTTCTTTTCTACACCCTCCCCCCAATACAAAAATATAGATACGTATTTTTTGTGGTCCCAAAATCTTGTGCTGTGGAGGGAGGGAAGGGGTGGCAGGTCCCTGTTTTGTTCTGTCTCAAGGTGATGTTCTGCAAGGCCTCGGACAGTGTGGCCAGTATTCCAAGGAGCTATGGTTGTCACATGGTATCAGCAGCTGGAAGACGGGACTAACATAGCGTTTCACTGTGCTCCCTCACCTTAGGTCTACATCCTGGGCATGGAGGTAAAGGCATTGTCAGACCCTGGGGAAAATAGCGAGTGATGGAGATTTAGGGACCAAACAAACCTCACATTGGTTCAAGGGCCCCCTGCTGTAACAAATCCGGGTTGGGGAGTCAGAGAGAGTACAGGAAATAGGAGAAGAGGCAGGGGCAGAGCGGGGCCGTGGGGGGCCGGCCTGAGGCAGCCTGCAACAGAGAAGAGAGAGGAAATCAGGGTTGTGGAAACAGCCCCTTCTGTGGTCTGTTAGCCAAGGTGAGAAGGGAAATGAGAAGGTGGGTGGGGACAGGCAGATTGATTACTGCACAGATGTCTGATACTAGAACTAGCTAGCTAGTGCCTAGGCCTTAAGAACCTAGCTACAAGTTATCCTTTGAAGTGAAGACTGAGGCCATGGGAGAATAAAAATCAGGGACTAGATTATGAATGAAAGTGCATTTAGTCTTTGGATAAAAGAGAAAATGATCCTGAATGGTGGGAATGGGCGGAAGGAAAAGTAGAAATGAGGGGTAGAATGAAGGGCTGGACTCCGGTGCTCACCCTGGTGTAGCAGAGCGGGGTCCCGGCTCCTGCTCACTGCTCTCTCTGGTTTGGGGGATAGGGGATGTGGGGCTTGAAGAGCCTCTCATCCCTCTGCGAGTCGGCGGTGAGCTCCGGCCCAACCTGGGCCTAGCCTGTGTGGACAGGGGTAGTCTAAGAGGTTGGGTTCTTCCATGAGGCTTTTCTGCTTCTAGAGTTTCCATGCAGAAGAATCTAGCACAGAAATCAACAGAGGTGCTAGGACCTTGAACTCCTGGGCACTGTTCCTAGCTGAGAGGATGAGGAGGGTGGTGGCTCTAGAACGCCCAGATTCAGTTTATGACAACATGCCAGGCCTTACTTATCTAAGGGTGGCGAAAGGACCCAGCATTTCACCTCCATGGGTATCCCATGGCCAGGAGGTGGCTGAGGAGAGAAGCACCATGGAGGAAGAGGGACGAGAACTAGCAGGCCTCCCTCAGCTTTCTGAGCCTCCGCCCCTGCCAGAGCAGCTGACGCTTCGTCAGTCAGCTGCCTCTACCCAACTCTAGTCAAACTAGGAAGAAGAGCTTGTCTGAGCTGGAGCTGATGGTAGGGTTCCTAGGAGCAGTAACCAGATGTGTTACCTGGGGAATCCGGGACCCCTCCTGGCGGAAACTCTCCTCGGGCAGGTCTGGTCAGAAAGAGAGGAGAAGCTAAGGACGGGCAGGGAAAGGCAAAGCTAGCAGGCTGCGGTTGGGGTGCGTCTGGCAGGGACAGTGGAGTCTGAAACAAGCAAGATACCTGGCTGACTGGGACAGGGGAGGTTAACACACAGGTACCGTGGCAGCTCTGCTAGGCTGGTGACAGAAGGCGCTCAAACAGGACTCAACAGTTGCCCTCCCAGGGCTCAGGAGAAGAGTGCCTTCCTGGGTTCTCCTAATGCGAAGGACATGGAAAGACCCCCAAAATTTTACCTGCAAACGAGTCCTAATGCAGGGGATCCGAGCACCAGCCCCTAGCAGACTTTTCCCAATCACCATGACAGCCTCTGGCTTGTCCCCTGAAGACGAGAATGAGCAGCTGCTCCCTAGAGAACAGAGGAAACTGACATCAAGGCAGGACTAGGAGAGACAGGGACTTCGCTCACATCAGTCTCCTGACCTTGTTTTGTTTTCTTTATAGTGCTGGGAGTCCAATCTAGGATTACTTCACGATAAGCCGGGTCTCACTGCTGAGCTACATCAGCAGCCCTCACCCTCAGCACCAGTGATAGTTGGCAGTACAATCCCTTGTTGTTACAGTGTGTTTGTGCATAGTAGGATGTGTATCAGCATCCCCACCTTAAACTATGGGGTACTGTTTCCTCCTTAGGTCCTTGCCCACTGTAATAACCAGAACCTCTTTGGATGCTGTCATATTGTCCCTGGGTGGCAAAATTGCTTCTGAGGGGTTCTAGTCTGATCCAAGGAGTGAAGCTGCCACTTTGGGTTAAAATTCAACCCTCAAGTTTAATGACTCAATCTGTAGCCTTAGAGCCCGCTCCAGTCATATGTTTTGGTATTTAGGAATGAAGTCCAGCTGGGCATAGTGGACTTTTTCATCCTAGCATTCCAGAGGTAGAACTGGAAGGCCAACTGGTCTATATAATGAGTTCCAGGACAGGCAGGGCTACACAGACTTGTCTCCAAGGCCGAGTCGGGGAGTCCATTATGCACAACAACTGGACTGAGGACTAACTTGATTAAAAACTGTTAGGTTGGTACACTATATGCTGGACTCAATCATAGAAAACAATCCTGCTAGGCACGGTGGTGCCCGCCTTTAATCCCAGCACTCAGGAGGCAGAGGCAGGTGGGTCTCTATGGGTTTGGGGCCAGCCTGGTCTAGAGAGTTCCAGGACAGCCAGAACTACAAAGAGAAACCCTTTCTCAAAAGAAAAAAGAACAATCCCATTTAGTTCCTTATACCACTGGATCTCTAACTTAAAAGGAGTAGGTGCCTGTGAGTTTAGTTAGGGCAGAGGATCCATTTATAGTCAAAACAGGCGAAAAGCCTGTGTTTTCCAAATGTTCCAGTTTTATCCCTGCTCCTAGGTCTTGCAGTTAGGGAGCTGCACTTCGCAGGTAGGAAAAGTCCTCAGATTCTTTCACTACAAGTGAGGACTAGATAGTATAGAGCAGTTCCTGCACAGAGTGAAAGGTCAGTAAATGTTAACTGTTAACTTTATTTTAGAAATTCATCTCATTGCATTCCAACCTCCTATACAAAGGCACATGTGGTAGGAATATGAGGTACCAGAATAGCTTGCATCTGCTCTGAAGTGGCCTTGACATCAGGTCAAGAGGGGAAGTCCAGGTGAGGGAGGAGTACGGCTGAAGGGGTTTCTTCTTGAAGCTTAGTTGGTAGCCTGTCTAAGCCCTGGGTGGTAGGGAGGGTAAGAAGCTGGGCAACCTCGAGTTCAGGGGCTGTGGGTACAGACCTGATAAGTTGAGTGAATTGGGCAGTAGGCAGGAGCCCAGGTTTCGTGAGGAGGCTGGGCCAGAACTAGGAAGAGTTGGGGATGGGGCCAGGCTGCTTGTGGTAGGTCGATGGTTCAGTGGCTGCTGCCGCCGTCTCCTGTCGGGGCATCGGGGCTCTGAGCGGAAAGGACACAAACAGGTAGAAGATAAAATAAGTGAGACGCTGTATGATAGCCTTCACTGACCTGCTGGTCTCCCTTTGGTCTTAAGAACAGTGCTCCCAACCTTCATCTTCTCATAATCCTGAAATCTCTAAGGTCCTTTCCTCACCAAGTGCGTTCTCTCAGACATTTCTACCTGTTAAGTCCGAGTGCCAAACCAAATCTCATGGTCTTCTCCCCTGTCCTTTTTCCTGTCTGCTAGAAAGCTCACTCCACTTTCCTGTCCCCCCTTGCATTTACGTTTGTTGAGTCAGATCCTAAGGTTCGGTGCCTGTAGTAGAATCTTACTCAGGCCATCACCAGTGTCTAGATGCAGATCTTTCTTCGCTGTTCTTTCTCCTTTAGCTTGACTTTCGAGTGTGGCTCAATTCTGAAGGTCTTTTTAAAGATGACATCTACTCTAAACCTTTACATTCAGAGTCCTTCCTGTGTTGTGTCTCCCGGCTACCTATCATTAGGATGCTGGCTTGATCATTCATCCCTCAGCCGTTGTTGCTACTAGCTGTGGGGTTCCTTTGAAATTTCCCTTTCTCTTTTTAGGGAGTACCTTGGCTCCCTCCCATGTCCCATCTCAAATGTCAGCTCCCTGTAGTTACCTTGGCCATTTACAGGCAGAATTAGTTCTCAGCCTTTTTTCACATGGCTAGTAGTTGTTTATGGATCAGTCACCTCTCACAGTTTAAGGGCATACTTAACCTCTAGGGGCAGTACTCTGATACACTCCTTTGGCTAGAACTTGACAGCTACAGGTTCTGAAGGGTGGGGTCCCAGAGACACACAGGGTGGGTGGATGGGAAAGGGGACTTGCAGGTTCAGTAGCTTTTAGCAGGTGCCATGTGCTCCTGAATTACCGCAGAACCAAAGAAAACTGGTGTCAGTATTCCAGATGTCCTCTACAAGCTCTAGGTGTGTGGTGTGAAAAGTGTCCAACTCTGCAAGTCAGTGACAGTGACTTCATCTTGTCTACACTGAGTTGTAGCAGGCAGTGCCATATACATAGCAGTGCAAACCTGTAATCCCAGCATGCAGAAGGTTGTGGAGTGTGATCACAAGTTCTAGGCCAGTGTGTGCTTCATACTGAGGCCCCGTTTGAAGGCATGTTTCTGATCTATCTTAGAATGGAAGCCCTTCTGGCTATGTGACACTCTACTGGATGCCAATTAGAGTCTAAGGTGGACAGTGTAAGAGCCAGACCTTAGGGGCTAGTGAGTGGAAATGCTGATATGACGGCAGAAGTCACCCGAAACATTAGTCACCCTCAGTGACTTGTCATACTTACGTGTATAATAGACCTGGTGGTTTTGATTTAAAACGTGGGCACTAGACCAGGTGGTAGTGGTGCACACCTTTAATCCTAGTACTCAGAAGGCAGAGACAAGCAGATCTCTGAGTTCGAGGCCAGCCTGGTCTACAGAGTGAGTTCCAGGAAAGCCACGGCAATTACACAGAGAAATCCTGTCTGGGGGCAGGGGGATGTGGGTACTAAAATTGTCTCTTAGGGTTGAATGTGTACCTTTAAGGCAGATCTCTGAGTTTGAAGCCAGCTTGATTTACACAAGTTTTAGACAAGCCAGGGTTATATAGTGAGACCCTGTCACGAAAATGAAAGCATATTCCTCAGCACAGAAGGCAGAAATAATAGGGTGCAGATGATCAGAGATCATGTCTATATACAGGCAAGCTGAAATCATGTGATAGGGTGATCCTTCACCTTACCCTAAGGAAATAATGAAGAAGCAGGAAAGTGATTGGAGTATGGTAATGCACATCTATAATCCCAGCCTCTGGAGGTGGAGACAGGAAGAAGGAATTCAAGGCCAGTTGTCTACAAAGTGAGTTTGAGCCCAACTTGGGCTATATGAGATTCTGACACATTGAAAAAGAAAAAAAGATTAAAACCTTTGGGACATATGTAGGTTCTAGTAATAAATGGAGTGCTGAAGGTCACTCCAGAAATAATGAAGCAAACCAGATAAAAGATAAAGCTCAGGAATCTTATCCCTAATGAGTTTCTGAAGAAAAGGCAAGGTCTGGTTGGTCTGGAAGATACAAGGTATTAAAGACAGCATTTCAATCAATTTAAGACCGCCGTAACACCTGCCCAGGCCTTCCTGTAATTTGTCAGTGAGAACACATGGCTGGCTCACTTTTTTTTTGGTCGGGGGAGGGATGTTTTGAGATAGGGTTTCTCTGTAACAGCCCTAGCTGTCCTCGAACTCACAGAGATCCGCCTGCCTCTGCCTCCCAAGTACTGGAATTAAAAGTGCACCACCACCACCTGGCTCTAGCTCACTTTTGTGTTTTGACTTTTGACTCCTCTTAATCCAGGTCTTATTCTATTCCTGTTGAGAGGATAAAAGGAGCCCCGATTCTGGATTTAGTTTGAAGTACAGACAACAGCTTAGTGCTGATTACAGGGTAATGTGATTGGCTCTGCTTCCAAAGGTGGTGAAACGGTATTTTATGGTAACAAGCTGGGACTGGCAGGATAGGACTGGACCTTATCAGAGATTACACGGTCTGGTAAATTGAGCCAGGCTGCCCTCACCTGCAAAGAGTTAGGATGCATGCATGTTCTAAGCACTAGAATCCAAGGTGTCATAGTTGGAAATACTAGTCTCTCCATGTAGTGCCCTAGATATTATTGAGTCCTTGGAATGCTCACACAGCCGGTTCTTATAACTCTTTGAAAATTAGAAAGATTAGATAAGCATTTAATTTGACTCCCAACTAAACTTTTCACTCAACATACAATAAATGTTTGCTGAATACTGAAGTGTTAGGCATAGTGCTAGGTACTGGTGTTGGGGGAAATTCCCTGATGCTGGTTTGCAGTGGAAAAGGAAAAGTGGCAATGGTGAGGGACAGCGGGTCCTCTGACTCACTCCAGAGGAGCTGCCTTGAGGGCTGGACATTAGCTACTCTACCAGACGTTGCCGGTTAGCTGAGCCAAGGCATTGACTAGATCAGGAAAGAGTTCCAGGAAGATCAGGTTCAGGCGACAGCTGTGAGTCAGATGAGAGGTGCTGGTGATGGGGTGACAGTTAAAGGCTCGTCTTTATACTGCCTCATCTTTCACATCACTGTTTGGCTGCATGGGCTGAAGGGCCAAGACTAGAATCATGCAAGAGGGAACCTAGGATGTAAAACTGAAGGGGGCTAGTGCTTGATGGTGGAACTTTGTGTCTGGGTGCCTCACCTGCCGCTGCGTCACGGCGAGGAGACCTGCCTTGTCACTCTGCCGCTCTAGTTCACCTCTGCTTTGGCAGTGTCGCACAAGTCTCTGGCTTTACGTCCACACTGGAGTATTCTCCAGTGACCTCTTCCCTACAGCCACAGTAGCTACAGATCGCGTTGCTGGTGTTTCTGAGACAGGAGACTGGCATGTGCTACAGATCTGGACAGGTAGCCAGAGCATGGTTTGCAGGTGGGGGAGTCGGCTAGATTCTGGCCCTAAGGTCAGGGACTATTTGGCTTCCTACGGTAAGAGCTTTCCTCTTTGTCTGAAGTTGGTGATTTACTGGCTTTCTACAGCACCATCTCCAGCTTGAGATGGAGCCTTTCAGACCAGTTCCCTGCCTGCCTTAAGCTGCTGGCTGACCTGCCCAGATCTTTCCTGAGAAAACTCCCTGGAACTCCTAATCTCATATTTGTTCTAGTCAATAAAACCAATAAAATGTATAGCTAAATATGATATACACAGTAATTGAAATTTTTTATGGGGAGGGTGTGTAGAGCCTCAAACTCACTATATAGGCAAGGGATGACCATGTCTATATCTTCAAGTGCTGGGATTACAGGCATGTACCACTCACTACACCTGACATAGAAATTTTACAAATAAATTCACAAGCCAACACAACAAAATTATCAAACCACAGTCCAAATTTTGGGGTCATAAAGTATACCTCATTTATGGTTAAAATTTCTGAGATCTGGGGGTCATATTTTTTTCTTTTCTAGCTTTGAAAACAGGCCAGCCAAGATGGCTGAGTGAACAGACACCATGCCTGACAAGCTGAGTCCAGTTTCCAAGACCCACATGTAGAAGGGAGGACAATTCCCATCAGTTGTCCTCCCACCCCCACACGGGTCCCACGACATGCGCCCTGCCCACAGACACACAATAAATAAGTATAAATAAATAAACCCGATAGCCTGCTGTGCTAGAAGCCAGAGAGCCAGAGGTGTGGAAGCAAATGTCACGTGGTAGGACAGATCACCCTAGACAAGTAAGTTTTCTCAAGAGTTGACTGAAGATGCCATGTCCAGATGTTAGTCTGCACTGCAGCCCTATCTAAAATCAGAGCCAGTCTCCCTTCCTTGGGGTCTTAAAGAACAGTGCCAGCAAATGCCTGGCAGAACGCTTTTACGATTCCTAGGGCCTCACTTTTTAACTCCGTACAGTGTCATTTTGATAGTAACTTTCATCTTGACCCCTTGACTTCAAAGCCATAGTTTTCTGCTTTTACAAATACTTATTCAAGTCTTGGGGGCATCTCTTCTCTACCCAGCTCTTTCTGTTCCAAGCTCGTTCACCCAGGAACATGCCTTCTCACTTGACGTTACTGGCACTTCTATCTATGTGGTAACTTAGATCTCCAGTTCTCCACTTGCCTTTACTATAGTTCTGCATGTCTAAAGGCATCTCCATAGATAACCTAAGAAATCTAGGCATGTCTAAAGTAGCTTTTCACTGTTTTTCCCCAAAGTGTCTTCATGTCACCATAACTTCCCTGTGGGACATAGCTTTGAAGCCTCCTAGCTCATCTGCCTTCTACCATTACTGAATGCTGCTGCTTCTGTTCTGATGCTTAGACATCCCCCTGTTGCAGGCCTTGGTCCAGGCTCTAGTTGCTCATGTGTAAACAAATGACTGCACGCCTCCCCTCTCCCTGTCCAGACGCAGAGCCCAGTCTCTTTGTTCTCATTTTTCTTAGAAGCGTATAGTTGCTACCATATGCCTCATTTTAAAACATCCTTGTTTTCAAAACAGTTCCACTTCCCACGTTTCTTTACCAGATTTTGTGGGTGAAGGGTGTAGTCCTTTGTATGCCAGTTAAGTATACATGCTTTTGCTATCCACCCAGGCTGTGTTTCTGATCATGGCTGTCATTTCTCATTTCTGGAATGTTTTTGTCAAGCCACATACTATTTATTTTTCAAAGCTGTTTCTCAACCGAACATTCTTTGCTTAATTGCTCATGACCTACCACAGTAGCTCCCCAAATGCCCTGGATGTTTATAATGTGCATGTCCTTTTTATGTGTATTTACTCTCTTCTTTCCGCTGTTAAGCTTCAAGTCAGTCAACCAAGAATTACTTAGTATTCAGGCTGCATATTTTCTATTAGTCCTCTGGGGAAGTACCAGAGAAAGAATACAAGCTCTCACATCAAGGATTTCAGTGCAAAGTTCTGCATCAGGGAGTGGGGCTGGAGGATGTCACCAAAATACTGATTAAAAACTGCCTATGGCTGGGAATGATAGCCTGCAACCTATAATCCAACAGTTGGTAAGTTGAAGCAAGAGGATCCTAAGCCAATCTAGGCTACAGAACTCAACTCGGCCTCAAAAAGACAAAAGAACTGCCTTGAATCCTCACGTAATGATATAGAGAAGGACCTTCATGGTCAAGGACGGAAGATTTATAATGCTGATGAAGAAATTATGAGCTATGATCTAGGAAAGGCTGACAAAAGAAAGAAAAAAACAACAGAAAAACTTCATGCAGATTTAACATGGGAGACTGGATATACTGGAGCCTGAAAGCCAAGCTGGAAAAACTGCCACTTAAGGAATACACCACTCTACCACTTCACCCTGTGAGGAGAGTCTCATTAGGTAGCCCAGATTGGCCTTCACTTGTGATTCTCCTGCTTCAGCCTACCAAGCCAGGGTTACGGGTATGTGCCACCACACCCACTGGACGAGCTGTTCCTAAAGCAGTCTAAGTTTTCTTGTCAGAAAAATGGGAACATCATCTATCCCACAGGACCTGGTTGGATTAAGTGAAGCTATTTATGATATTGTCTCATTCATTATTAAACGCTATCTAGCTATGAAGCATCATGATTACGAATTTAATATGTTAAAGCACAGTGCATAGAAGTATTTATTCCCAGGTTAGACAGACTCTCAAAGGGGGTTGGAATGTAAACAGAACCAGGTTTCGTATCAGAAATAGGAACATCCTAATTAATTGAAGCTGGGCTTTCTCTGCAGCTTCTTTAAGTAGCAGTCAGATTTACAGACACCGACTAGGGCATATCAGGGCCAATACAAAAGCCAGGTTGCAAACTGAATAGTACAAAAATGCTCATAGTTCCAGCTTACAAGTCTCCATGTTTTGACAAGATTTCTATAGCCCAGAAAACGCCAACAGTACTGATTTGTGGTGTATATTTCTAGAACTAATACTACAAAGTTCTCTCCCCCAACACAACCCAGCTTCCTGCCAGCTTTTGTTCCCCCATCCCCACCCGATTCCAGTCCATGCGTTGGTCATAAACATCTGACCCAGAACCTCTTATCAGGTGAGACCTAAAACTTACTAATGTCTATTGTGCCATTGTGCACATTGATGAACAGGGATATACGCTGATTTATATGTCTGGAATAGAAGCTGTTTCAGTTCTGCTTCTCCTTGGAAGAACTGGGATCTTGAATTACTATCTGAATAGCCGTGAAGCCAGGAAGTATCAGCCCACAGAGGCCGTGGACAGTGCTCATCATTCTACAGTGCTAGTTTGAATTTCCTCCTCCTGCCAACAAGAAGACACTGCAACATTGTCCTCGATATGGAAGTTCCATGTCTGGGTTTGGCTCTGCTTTAGCTAGTGTTTTGTCCTTGGAAATGTCCCTGGCTCCTAGCATGTGCTGAAGCTACAACCCCCAGGCCTTCTTCCTGTGGCCGGCCATACACAGTACTGCTCTGAAGTCGTGCCGCAGGAACAACATTCGCAGGAGAGGCTGGAGGTTCTTCTGCTACAGACTAGTTTATTAAGTCACCCCTTGTGTGTCTTCAAGCTCTCTTCCCCCAGCAATGCCCCAAACAACCGAACATCTGCTGCAGGGTTGCCCAGACCGGCTTACCTCTGACAGGGCCCAGCACCCGATGGCTGACCTTCTGGGTGCTGGAGCTCAGGCCTGGCAGCCCTGCAGGCCGACTGCCATGAAAAGGGAAGCTGGGAGAGTTCTTCATCTGTGGAGAGTTTTGTTGGCTGCCGCCGCCACCGCCACCGCCACCACCACCGCCACCTGTGCCAGTGCTGAAACTTCGAGCTCGGCTCAAGGCATTTTCAGAGCAGGAGACGGGTACTCCACTGCAAAGAAGCAGACACCAGTTAAGGCCTGGGGAGAAGGGTCCTAAGGCTTCCTTAGGACACAGCAATTAAAATTCACTTCCCGCCTCAAAGGGCATAGGAACCCATTCCCAGGAAGGAAGGAAAGAGGGAATGCATGCCCATGGATGGAGAATCTAACTTGGGACAAAGCCCCTAATCTTGGAAGGGTCATCCTAAGTAGCTTTATTTCATAAAGGATTTCTCCCTTATTTTGTTGGTGCTGGCTCTAGAACCCTGGCCACAAAGACAGGGGTTTTCTGCACTGTTCTGGATCTAGGAATCCCCTGGACTGATTTTCAGCTCCCTCAGCTGTAGCTCTAGGTGAAAGGGGCGAGGCTCCTATTCTCAAAAACTGAAGTAATCTCACCAGTTTTCATTTACCCAGGACCCACCACGTGGCACCCCCTCCTCACCCACCCCTAGAGCTTGCCAACCGTCCAGCACCCTGCTGTGCCCTGCTGCTGGTCTTACTTGTTACTTTTGGGAGGAGTCCGCGAGCCTCTCTTCTTGTTCACGCCCACATTCACAGTGCTGGTCAGACCCCTGCTGTTGCGCACATGCTTCAGCATCCAGGCCCGCAGGTTCGTGAGGCTGTTGTGTTCTGACAGCACAATCCGGGGCCATGGGTTACATTCGGCCATGTCCAGAGCTGCGATGGCCATCGCTCTTCCCACCTGTGGGGAGGTCAGCGTGGGTCAGTGTCTTTGTCCTCTAGTCTAGCTGCTGTTTGGGGTGTGGTACACAGCACAACAGGAGAGAAGCAGCCAGATGTAACAGTGGGTACCCTGGAGTTTGTGCCCAGGTTCTTTAACTCAAGTCTATCCACAGCTCGCTGCTCTGAGCAGGGGCTGGGGTGCTTTTGGTTGACACTATGAGTGAATTTCCCAGGAGAAAGACTTTGTATCTGTTACAACCTGAAGTTCTCTTTCTTTTATTTGCCTAGAAAAAGACACATTAAGACTATAATAATGGGTGCTTTTGAATGTAGGGGTGAATCAATCCACGAGGAAGATCAGCTGAGCCCAGGTGATTTACTTCGATGTGCCAGGGTTGGGATCAGAAATCATGCCTGTGTTCCTGCCTGTTACCATGACAGTCACCTGAAGAAAATAAACAACCCTGCAGAGCACCTGAGATTTGGGCATGGATTCTTCCCAGGTTTTGGGGTTCCCACTTAGTCTATGGATTCCTACCTGCTCAAACAGCTCCACAGTGTATCTGGAGGGGAAGGCCGGCGGGGGAGGGGGGCTGGCACGCCCGTTGTCGTGGCAGGCGGCCGGGATGCTGTTGACCGAGCGTCCGGTGTTGTAGTTGCACTCAAGTGTGTAGCTAAGACACGGAGACCTGTGTCAGTGTCCTGTCTGAACAGGCTCCGACAGAGTGGCGAGGGACAGTGTGGATGGCCTAGAAGAGACCACTTGGAAACAAGACCAGGAGAAAGTGCTAATAATCCCAACTAACAACTGACTGTGTGCCCAGGAAGCCCTCCAAAAATAAGACTCCCAGATCAATGCCGACCGAGACTCTCTTAAGACTTGGTGCTTCCAGCCCTTACACACCCTGGAGTAGGTGGTTTTTCTTAAAGAAGTTGTTTTCTCAACTGTGCCAGTTTCCTCCCAACCTGTGTATTATCCCTGAGGCTTTGTAGATGGCAACGCGGCCGCTTCCCTCCTTGGACTGGCCATCCCTGCGGTCTCGGGCATACATGTTCTTCTCTGAGAAATTACAGCCCTGGAAGTCAAAGTGGGCTGAATTCAAGGAGATGAGCTTTGGATAGAGCATGTTTTCCACCTGTGTGGGGAAGAAAAGGCCACTCAGAAGACGGCACGGGAAGAAGGGACAAGGGACAAGCAAAGGAGGCAGCTGGTCATGTGACTGTAGCATAGACCATTGTGACCATCAGCAGTGATCAGTGCTTCTTCAAGTCGCACTGCTGAACATTATTTCTTTTAACATTTCCCCTCCAAATTTCCCTTCTGCTCTGGTTCTCAAGCTCTACAGAAGACTGGGGTGCTGGTAGCTTGCTCTTCCCTCAGGGGTCGTGATAGAATGGCTAAGCTGTAAGGGCCGCATGCCATCTCTTTGAAGCCTGTGCAGAGGCCGCATCTCCAGAAGGCCACCTTCCCACCTTGCCTGTACCCTCGCCCTCGTCTCCTAGCCTGCAACGCTGCCTGCCACACAGTACCTAGAGTCCTACCTGGGTGCTCTCATCACTAAAGCTGTTTCCGTACATGAAGCAGCCCCTTTTGGAAGCATGTCCATGCAAGTCCACATAGTAAGCAACACCACTCTCTTTTGGGGGGATGGTGTCAGGGGCTGGCTCCTCCAGTTCAGGAGGCTGCTGTGGCATAATCCACACAGTATTATCAGTCTTCTCTTCTGCTGGCTCTGTCTCGGTCCAGGTCTCGGCGTTGTCCCCATCAGGTGACTGCCCACGGTGGGCTTCATTGTGGAGGTTATTGGCTTTCTCGAGGTCAGAAAGAGGAGTCTCAAGAGGGAGATGGAGACTGGGCTGCTGGACGCTGGGACTCTTGGAGTTGAGGCGGGAGTGCACGTGATGGTAGAGAAGCACAGCTTTGGCGCCATAGATGGCGGGGTGCAGGACGGCGTCGGGCTTCAGGTACTGACGGTTCAGATTCACTCCCCGGGAGTCTGTGCTGTAGGAAGACAGGACCGAACAGGGTCTAGGTGTCTGGGCCAGCAAGAGACTAGTCTAGAGCAGGGACAGGAGACTGGAGACTTAGCTTACTGGAAAAGAGGAGGACATGGCCTTTCCGTGGCTCGTCCCCTACCACAGAAATCAAGGGCAGCTGAGCTCCCTCTACCGGAGGACGTCTTCACCGGTCCTCCTTCTGCCCCCACCCAGGAGTGTGCTTAGACGCAATCACACCCCTCACCTCACAGGAACATTAGAGGACCTTGTCCTTGTGCGGGTACAGAGGACTAGGCATACACACAAGTCAGAAGGCTGGCTGACTTTCACAGACAAGTGGGACCGAAGAGAACCGGGGAAACCCAAAGGACTGTTTAGGCTCCTTACCGGTAGTGACCCCGAACCACACCATCAGGGTTTAACATGGGAATCAGCTTAAAGACAAAGAGTCGACGTAGGGTTTGCGCCCGGGGGTCATCAGGTCGAAGGATGAAGTCCAAAAAGCCATTGAAGACAAAGCTAGATGGAGTCTCTCCAGGGTGTACCCTGCTGCTTAAGAAGAATATCTGAGGTGGAGAAGAAAGCAGAGAGAAGGTCAGTGGTGTCCCAGTTCACTCTGACATGGGGCAGAAAGAGCCCTGAGACTTCTAGCTGGCTGCCTGCCAGAGGTACAGGAATGCAGTCCTCTGCCCCAGGCTACAAGCTAAGCTGGGTCCAGAATGTGTAGAGGAGACGGCTTTACATTCGCCTCAGTGGCTGGGGCTGGAATAAGGCGGCCAGAGGACTGTGTTATTTCTTTATGCGTCTGTCTGTGGGCGCCTGTGGAGGCTGCAAGCCGTCCTATCCCCTGTAGATACAGGCAACCACACACACGTGGTGCTGGGAATCCTCTGGAAGGGTACCAAGTGCTTTTCAACACTGGGCCATCTCCTCTACCCAAGACACCGCTCTCTTCTCCCCACTCACCCTTTTGCCTGTGAAGCGGAACGGTCGGGGAGTGCTAAGGTCAGGAAATAGCTGCTCTAGACGAGGCTCCCGATCTTCTCGGAGCCCATGGCAAGAAGTGACTGTTAGTAGATCTACCCGAAGTCCATCCAGAGAATGGCAGAGCAGCTCCCGGTGGTAATAAATGCTATCCAGAGGACTGGGGGGATAAAATCATTAGTCGTAAGTCCCTAAAGTCTTAGCAAGAAGTGGGCAGCATCACCAGCTCAGGACTTGAGTTATCTGGTCCCTCACCAGAACCTTTGGGGCCTCTTAGTCTTTTGAACTGGTGAGCCTGGGGATGTTTGTGGGCCTGCACTGCCGGATGCAGAATACAGGACTGAAGCTGGGTATGTGCATTCGTGCATGCATGTGTGCATGCGCGTGCGTGCACGTGCATGACATGCCTGTGGAGGCCAGAGGACAACGTGCAGAAGTCGGTTCTCTCCTGGCCTGTCAGTTCTGGGGATGAATTCGCATCTCCAGGCTGCAGCACACACCTTCTCTACTCACTGCGGCATATTGCGCCACTGCTCCACCCCTTTATTCAGGGTGAACTTTTGTTCGATTTCCTAGTTTATGGGACGTCAGGATAGATTTGTGTAGACAGACAGCTGTCATCAGAGGGGCAGGTGAAGACGACATGCCACAGCACCGGCTAAATTCTAGGTAACTGATGAGCACCGGGCCTGTGGGGGATGCCGTGTAGGCGGTGGTATGGTTGCAAAGGAACACCTTTTTCAAAACGCTACGTTCTACGCAGGGAAAAGACGGGGGACGTTCTGGCCACGAGCTCTCAGGACAGATGCCAGAAGCAGCCGAGGTGCTGCAGGAGCTAAGACAGTGCGGCGGGGGAAGGGCGGGTGAGCACCTGTTGAGGGTAGAGTAAGTCTCTGGAAAGCGCTGGTCTAGCTGGCTTAGCAAATCCTGGCAGTCACTGTAGGAGAATGGGTAGCAGAAGGCGAAGAAGGTGGTGGCCCCCCGGCCCTCCACAAAACGGTGCACAAAGGACAGCACGAACTGTGTCTCTGTCATCTGGGGAGTGGAGAGGAAGAGGGAGGGGACAGTTATCTATATCGGGAGTGCGCTCCTCCTGTGGGGACGCCAGGAACTGACCTCTCGCTTCTCACCTTGACCAACTCCCTCCCTGATACTTTGCACATGAGAAAGAGCCAGCTTCTCCAGGCTTGCTGAAGGAGAGGCTCATCTTGGACCCCAGCTAGGGGTGGAAGAGAGAAGATACTAAAACTCAGGGGCTCCAGCTGCCTCGTGCTCCCTTTAGGAACGTTTCCTCCGCGAGCACTCAGGCTTTCCTCTAATGAAGAACTCACCTCAAAGGTGGGTCTGTCTCGAATGCGTTCCCAGCGTGGCCGGGAAGGCAAGGTGCGCACGAAGGGGGCCATGCCCTGAGAATACAGCTTGCTCTGCTTGTTCATGTTCATAATATTGATCTTGATAAGTCTGCCCGGAGTTCCTCCCCGGACACTGAAGTAGAACCATGATCTGAGAAGCAAGAGTGGCCGGCTGTCAGTCAGACGTGGGGTGGTCAGAGAGACGGTGTGTGGGGGAAGCTGGACCAAGTCAAACCGGCCAAGAGCTATTCAGTATGGGGGGGGGGGGTGTAGTGTGCTGTTACGTGCAAAGTCAAAGGACTGGCCACACTCCGCACGGGCACCCGGACACCCGGACACCCCACCCACCCTCTCGGTCCCCGTACCTGTTCCCGTTCTCAAATTCTGTTTCCGCACAGTCTGGCCGGGTCCACACGTTGAACTCGTAGTCAGGGGAAGCAATGGCACCAGTGGGGGCCGAGGCCACCCCTCCTACCCCTTCCCCATCACTGGGCACAGGCTCCACCTTCTCCACATGGGCTAGGTTCCCTGAATCAAAGCGAGAACTGAACAGCAATCCCCCACAACGCAGCTCCATGGTGGGGCTGGGAAAGCATCCTCTTGCCCCACACTGGCCCTGAGAGCTGGGGGAAAAAATGAAAGGGTGTAGGGAGGAGGGGGGAGAAAAATGCAACAATGTTCTTGAGTATCTCGAGATAAGTAAGGATGCTTTTAGTACTCTATGAAGCAAAAGACTCCTTTTCTTAGAAAACATGGACGTAGCCTTCCAGCAAGACAGAGAGAAAGCAGAACTCTGTCCCTGGACACCAAAGGGTTAGGAGTGACCTAAAAGACCCCATTTTACTACATCGCAGCTGTTGCCAAATCAAATGCTCAATGGGAAACACTAGCCCCTCATGCTTCTCAGACACCTGAAGAGCAGGGACGAGAGGTCAGATGGCTGCCACCGACTCTACGAGGGGCCATTTTAAAATCTCCTAGACTGGCTTCGTACTGTGCAGCCCGGAGCAGGAAGAACCACATTTCTAAGTGTGAATGGTGGCTTCCTTTCTTTACCCCTTTGTCTCCACGCTCACCGACTAGAATCATGCTGCTGTTTCTACCAGACCTCGGAGGGCTGTTGCTGTTGTTACCACCCGCTTCCT